AAGTGGTTTTAGGCAAGAAATGTTGCATAATACGTTGTGCTCAAAGTGTATGTTAAAGGTAATGCTCAGCTACTATCACTACAAATTTTAGCTCAATATCTGTCAACAGAGTCAGAGACATTTTTGTGTTTAKCAAAACTGCTTTGTTTTGGTGGCCATTTTTGAAACAAGTTGTCTCCTGTTCAGCTGTGAGGTGCATCTAGTGGTTACACTCTGAGAGTTGGATTAAAATATATTCTCTGGTTCATGAGACTGTGTTAACTGGTACCAGTGGACTTACATCTGCCACCATGTCGATGAGACTCTTGTTGCAGGCATCAAAGCGAGTCTTCCACGACTGACAGTCTTTCTCCAGCTTTTTCATTTTCTTTGACATCTAAACAACAGAAATGTTCATATTACAGAAGCTCCACCGTTCATGTAAAGTAGTAAACATGTCCGTTTTTAGGCCCCATCAAAAGTGTCTGTGAAGCTGAGAGTTGTTTTATTTTTTGGTCTTACTTTGTCCATGTCCTGTTTGAAGCCGCTGTACACACTGTTGCTTTTTGACACCGTGCCTTGGATTTCATCAAACTTCTGGGAGTACATGTCAAGCTGAGGAGAAAAACATTATTAGCTTCTCTACAACAGAAAAAAAAACCACTGACAGCTCGTTACCTTACCTGGCTCCTCATGTCTCCTTCCTGCTCCCTCAGGATCTTCAGCTGGACTTTGTACTCTGCTGTCTGCTTGAGGAGCTGCAGGACACATCCCACCAGACAATTAACACTGTTTTCATGCTGATTCAACATCCACACTGTTGTTTTCAGCCTGGTTTTGGTCTCTAACTACTTCATTCATTCATATTTGATTAAGCGTACCAGAGTCCTGCTAAATCAGGTGGGAGACTCATGTGGCTCCTCACACATTGATRAGATAAAACGTTAGGGTTAACCCTCCTTTTCTCTCTATTTCTTAACTTTTGCTYATTCCCTGCCAAAACCTTAAGAAAAAGTGCCGCAAACAATGGTTTATTTAAGACCTTAAAGTTTGTTGTTCCTGATAAAGTTGTTAAAGTAATGATAATTAACTCTGACGCGTGTTAACCATTTGTATCATATTTGCTACACAGGATTCTGTGACCTGTATTTAATCAATGTGATCAATATTTTCCTCAAAAACCTGTTGTTTTATAATGTGAGACCTGTATTCTGCCCTCTGGTGGATCATCAATGTACTGCAGGAAGTGGAACT